CACACACAACACACACACACACACACAAACTCTCTCTCTATAACACACACGCCCCACACCCCCACAGATAAACACACACACACCACACACACACACAACAACACACACACACCACACACACCCCCACACCCACACACCACACCCACACACACACACACACACACACACACACACACACACACACACACACACACACACACACACACACACACACACACACACAGACAGAGAGAGAGACAAGAGCGGAGGAACGGAGGAGAACAACAAAGTGTAAAAAAGTCAAACAAATCTGCTTTATTGCCCCGAGCTCTGCTGTCCGCCCGTTTGTGTGTCCCCCAAGTTTCAAATTCGTTTATTATTATTATTTTTTAACCGCAAGCCGTTATCGTCACGGGAGAAGGACACACACAGCCTGCCCAGGTGGACGCCCGCGAACGCGACAACGAACGTAGCGTGCGCATTCTAAAAATAGCTCACAGATGGATCAGGTTCCGCGGTTTTGAACTACAGTATTGAGATGTGAGTTGGTTTATTCAGTAAATTAGCTCAGGATAATTGGATGTTCTGTCTACACCTGTTGATGTGAGGCTAATGCAGGACTTGCTAGCTTGATGCTACCGGCATTTAGCGGCAGTGACTCAACAAATTGCCTCTAAAAATGTATCGTCAGCAATGTATGACAAGCAGACTGCTTGTTTAATGTTAGACTCACACCAATAGCTCAATATGATCATAACACGATTGCTTTCATATCAGAGATCAGATGAGGTGGAGCTGCCTCCAGCAATAGAGGATGAGGCAAAGAGAAGCAGCAGCAGCAGCACAGGGTTGCAGCAGGTATGTTATATGCTGTAGTCAGGTGATTTAAATGTATCAATGAAAGGAAGAAGTGTAGGCTACATGATAAGAAGGGAATACAGTTTGAATAAAAGTAATACAGTACAGTGTAACACTGTACTGTATTACTTTTTAATGTACAAATACTTTGTTACTGTACAATATCAATAACAATAATCCACAGCTTCTCTCTGCTCCAGAGGATAACAAAAAATGTGGGCGCCCCGAAAAAAAATTTCTAGCAGCACCCTGCCAAGGCAGTAAACCTAGGGGAAACACTGCCCCTGATGCCTCACCTCTCCCATGGCGAGTCCCTCCAGAGCCAGAGCCTGAAAGTCATGGTTCAGCTCGTCCATGGACCGCACCTGAATAAACACAAACCCAGCTTTATTTACAGAGGTTACATAGTGATTGACTACATAACATATTTGCAGATGATTACAGTAGGTAACACTACAGTTAAAAGTTTGTAAAGTAATAATGATAATGATTTTTATTTATATAAAATTGTATGTCACAGAATTATGTTTTTGCATTTAGCCCATGGTAATTTGTTTATATAAAGTATTGTAATATTTATACATGTAGTCCGTGGCAACTTTCAGAGGAAAAAATGCCGAATTAAGTTAGCACTACTGCAAACTGAACATCTTTTCCTCCTGCAGCTTCTCATAAAAAGCATCATGTTTGTTGACTTTTATTATAAAGAAATCATAGTAAAAGCAATTTGTCAGCAAGCTTTAGACGGAACCCTGTAGCTTGCATAATAGTTTGCAGGGGAGCAGCTGGAAAACGTTAAAGCTCCAATCGATGTGACAAACTACCGTACTTGAACATTTGCCGACTCATGCTGTGTGCAGAATAAAATTAGATCACGTTTTGCTCAGAGAATGAAGGACAAAAGGTTAGTTATTGTCTGACCTCAAGGAAAGTTTGTTTAGCTTCTACAAGTATTCTGGCACCTGTAGTTTTAAACATCATTTGTTTTTACCACCAGTAAAAAGGGGTGTAACCTTAAAAAGAAATTGAACTTTGTGCCTGTTTTTTTAAATAAATGGCCATTGATGCTTTCGTTTTTTCCCTTACAATTGAAACTTTGAAAGATTTAGTTTCCCTACATCCCTTACACATGACCATGTTAGCATCAACAGTGTATTGCACACAGAGTCGAAGGCAATGTTTACATAAGAATTACGTTTTCTGTGTAGAAATGTTTCTGTCAACTTTTACAAGCAGACAGAAGTACATATGACATGATAAAACAACAGAACCAGTGTTAAAATGCTCCTACTTCACACACACCAACACACACCTGGCTGTCATGGATGTTGTCTCCAGCGGGCCAGCGATGTTTCCCGGGCTGTTCACCGTGCTGCCGCTGGAAGAAATAGTCTACCATGGCATCATCCTGGGAACGTCCAGCACCCGCCACACCCTGGGAGACACACAGACACACACACAGGTGCACATTATCCTGAAATTACTGACAACAGTAACAAGCAGACAATTGTAGACATGCAGCCTGGACTGTCAGTATTTACCTTCATCATTTTGTATTATAAATATAAAACTTGAGCATGCCAACAGTCGAATACACAAGAAAACTTAATCTTAATATAATGCAATAAAATAGCCAAATACATATCAAATATAGAGTAGAAATATCATAAACCAAGGTTTCAAAGTAAGAAAAGGGCAAATTAATCAAATAACAACCCTACAACAATATTGAATTGTCTAATTTTTTTTTCAGGATGAGTACTCTAAAGTATCTCCAAAGGAATGCATCTGCTTGACATTTTTAAATAAAGACATTCAATCCCACAAGGAAATAATTGTACATTCATAATTATTATCAAAACAGCTCCATTAGTTGAGGCATACTTTCTTCTAAAAATCAAATGCGCCCGATAAGAGGCTGCATTTCCTTTTTACTGGCAAACGTAAGCTGACTTCCTCTCTTACTCATTTTGAGGGTAAACATAAAAGTTTTCCACAGAACAACACGTCGTCAGAGACTCAGTCATCTCGTTCTGCAAACAGCTGGGCTCGGCCATTTGCTATACACGCAAAGCGTGCAGCAGAACAAGTTACCAAAAGCCTTTTAATCAGACTAAATTGCTACTTATCAGATGGACTGGACTGTTTTTTCCAGGATTAGTCATGAAACATTTTAACTTTGTTTTTAAGGAGACACTTTATTGCCCTCACACATTACAGTTCACTTAAACCGAGACATGACATTGTTCACTACTGATTCATTTCAGAGGACACTTCAGATCATCTTTATTAAATATTTTTAAAATAATTCAGTTAGCCTGTCTGACAAGCAGTAACTATGAAAGGCTAACAGCATTACTACATGACATTAAAACAAACCCTACATACATTTAACTAATTGGTGTTCCTCTTAACAAACTACAGCTATGAAAACAATTTATATTCATGTATCGATTAGTTATGACCATCATAAACACCAGAGCCCAAGGTTATGACTTCCACCATCTCAAGCATGTTACATGTAATGTTGCCCAAATTCAGTTGAACAATATGTACACAGGTCCCGTCTGAATAACAGCCTCCTCCAGCTCTACCTTATGATACGCAGTAGCCATACTGTTGATGCTATGAGTTGCTATTGTTGTGATCTGCAGAAAATGACAAGTATAGGTGCTAATAGTTAATGAACAAAGTTGATAACGAGACATTTAACCCTTCACAGACTATTACTGTACATACAAATGTAACAATTATTAGCTGTTTAATTACATTTTGTGATGAAAAAGTGGATAAATGTAGAGAATGTGAGCTGGCTTGCAGGAGAGGGACAATAAGCAATGGTCCATTTTGGAGCCTTGAAGGCTTTAGTACTAGACAGTTGTCTGTCCATCAATGAACGAGATATGTCAAGGTGGTGGGCTTTACCTGCTGGCTGGGGGGCGGGGCCTGGGGGGTCTGCCCAGTTGGAGGGGCATGTCCTCCGCTGCTCAGCACTACGGGCATGCTGGGAGATGTAGTTCTATGGTGGGGGCTGAATGAATCCTGCCAGAGCACTGCTTTCCTCTTCAACACACACACACTGCTCATTCCACCACAGCCTGTCCAGAGAGAAAACACTGGGTCAATGCATTGAAAAACCTTTAAGATAAGACAAAATAAGACGCTTTCATTTAAATAAATGTCTGACAGGTCACTCTCCATAACCAAATAAGGCGTTGGTGATTGAGCCAATGCCACCCTGATGAACATAATTGTAATATTGATGTATTTACAGTATTATGAACACTGTCTGTGGCGAAATTCCTGGAAAGAATTGCCGCATTAAGTGACTGCTAATTCCATCTGGACATTTCATATTGCTGCAGCTTCATGTTACAAAACAAGACAATAGGCACTTTTGACAGCCGAGTTTGAAATATTGCAGGAAGTACTGTAGCACGGTGACGTGTCAGACGAAGAGCTGCAGGTGACAGGTTGCAAACCTCCAACTTCTAAGCCACATAACCAACTACTTTTACTTTCCCTGTTTGAGGTCTCATGTGTTCAATAATATTACATCAGAAAATGGATTATCATTTTGCGCAAGTTAAGATGTAACTTATAAACCGGTAAATGAGTCTAATTTTAAGCAAACAAACCTGTTGTAACATAAATCCAGTCAGAAGCAGGCAAGCAAGTCAGACTTATCTTATTAACTATGTCACAATAACTTTGTCCTTGTGCCATTTTATACTGTACTTGCAACCAACACAATATATGATCCATGTTTTACAACCCTACTGACAGAAGACAAAAACATGTAGCATAACAAATGGGTCATGTAATCCAAAAGTGGTTTATGATCAAAGTGCAGAGTCAGTGTTGGTGTTATGAAAAAAGTAAGCAGTGTCACCTCATGTAAATAGATAAGGGCTGCACAATACCTAATTTCAGCATCTGCATCACCGGACGCACAATGTAAACAAAATCAACCTCAAACTGGTCACGGGTTGCATGATATATCGTGTCGTGACGATTTTGGAAAGGAAAACTTGCGCGGCTCTCATGTCAGGGGTACTTGAGTGAGTGACATGCAAGCTCTGCATGCACAGCAAACCACAATCAAATCTCCAAAGCAAACGGACCCGGTGATTAAAGGTAAAAACACTTAATAAAGTAGTTTCATGTGTTTCTCCAGGGCAGTTTGGCGCTGCTAACCGAGCTAGCTCAGCTTGTTGCCCTGATAACTTAAGATCCAGACGTCCGTCACTAAAATCCTTCATTTGGTTAAATATAGTTAAAAAAATACCAATTGTATAGCATTAAAGTTCAAGAAAGGATGCTTTGCAGAAAAAAACAAACAGTATTTTCTTCAATTTCTGTATGTTTTCATATCGCAATATATATCGCAGGGGGGGGGGGGAAATCGCAATGTCAGTTTTTTCCAAGTATCGTGCAGCCCTAGTATGCCAGTGAACCACCGAGGATAACAGTAATTCACTGCTCGTATTTACTCAAATAACCAAAGCAGACCCCACTAGTTGTCAGCCACTACGCTGAAATTAAGGAAAAGGAACAGGTTGGAAAAGAGAACAAAATATATGAATTTTTTAGCACAAAATGCTAACACGGTACCTTTGTTTTCATCAAGCTGGTAACTGGGTGTATTCAGGGACGTGCACCATATTGAGTAATGTTAAAATTTGTTGGTCCCCAAAAGTGCTTTGAAGAATACAGGATATTTTTTTACCCAAGGCCACGTGTTCAAAACTCAAATCAGGCCCTGTGGTGGATTTAATTTCGCGCGGGCAGGATAATTTTTAATCCACTATGTAGATCTGGCCCGTCGGTATATTGCGCACTTGCCACCAAGATGAGATGCCAAGTAAACTGGCGTTAGTGTGCATTAGGGGCTGAACGATTAATCGATTTTAGAATCGAAATCGCGGGATTTTAATGATTGCGATTATCAAATCGCAAAGCCTGCGAATTTTTTTTTAACTTTTTTTTTCTTCCCATGTTAGACCAATCAGAAGTGGCCATTGAAAGGTGGGATAGACAGATTGATCCAAGGTCACCTGGCAAGTATTTTTGAAAGTGGGCCTGCCCTTTCCAAATGCTTCCAATGAGCTTGTCCTATATGTTTGGTGAACAAACCATCTGAGTAAGGTTAGTAATGCTCCATTACATGTTCTACATCTGATTACAGTGTGAATCTTAAACTGAAGCTTGACTTTAAAGCAACCCAACGGAAGTTTCATGTAAGTTTAGTTATTTCCACTCGTAGCTCGGGCGCGGGGTGCTAGAGACGGAGCATGTTGATGCGACTCCTAGCCGGAGATATGGCCGCATTTTACAATGAAACTTCCATTTGGGTCGCTTAAAAACAAATATCGCAAAATCGATCGCAATCGAAGTATTTGTCCGAAGAATCGCAATTGGATTGTTTTTCCCAAAATCGTGCAGCCCTAGTGTTCATCACAGAGCAGCAAACTGGGAGTTTCAATGGGGATGTTTCCTTCTGCACTT